ATTTCACACATATATACACGCCCACCACGGCACTTATACCGGGGAAAAAGTGATTCTTTCCCACTTTATATTTACTTCAAAAATATACGTTTAACCGTTTAAAAAATATCAAACCTTCATAATTTTACGTTAAATGTATACGCTGAGCTTCGTAACGCAATGGCTTGCATTCTATGGTTGAGGCAGAATGGACCATATCGTACGATTTGGCGTACTATGACATAATTCGTGGCCATTGGATCACCATATCGACCCCATCACACCTGGCCAATCAGGTTGCATCGAGGCACATTTCGCACATCTTTTCAGTCATCATTTCTTGTTAAACTTTTAAATATGACCGCCCTTGATGACTTGATTCATCATGATTCGTATGTGAATTTGTGAAATGTGAACACAAAGCGAATTTAGCAAACACTATTTATATGTGCACAATATCGTATTTTATACACAGAGCGTGCCATTACTAAGTAGGCGAATTATGATGACGTAGTACACACCACTTATCATATTATTTAGTAACCAACCCCGATTAGAATTGATAACTGGTTCCCACACGTGCTTACTGTAGCGCAGACTCACTAGGGAAGTATAGCGACTTACTATTAGATACAAGCTTTGCCCTGGACACTACATACAAGCTCGTGAAATACTACAATCCAACCTCCAACACATTATAAATCAGCTATCGGTAATTATACCAATATCAACGAGCACATAAATATCATTGCCGCTTATAACCATTCATCCTCGCACACAATGTCTATAACCGCATCAAGCACAGCCCCATCATATTTAGGAACTCCCTCCAGCGTCATACACCACGGAAGCTACGCAAAGTTTACACATCATGTATCGCAATACCGTCAAGAATACTGGCCAGGCAATAGGCAATTCCTGGCCGGTTACGCGTCAGGGGTGTCACTAGTTCTAGTTGGACACAGTTTTGACACGGTCAAAGTGCGCATGCAGACCGAGGGCAGTGGCGCTGGTGGACGTTTCAATGGCGTGCTCGATTGTGTGAAAAGTACAGTACAAAAGGAAGGGGTAAGGGGGTTATACAAGGGTGCCCTTGCTCCTATTTTGACAACTGGTGTGATCAACTCAGTCTTGTTCGGCACACAGTTCAACTTAGTAACACGCATCAAAAAGAACGAAGTCGCGACCACCGCCGAGGTCATGCAGGCGGCTGTCGTAAGCGGTGCACTCATATCCGTACTCGTCACCCCGATGGAGGGAGTCAAGGCACGGTTACAAGTCCAGTATGGCAAGGGGTATACCGGGCCCGTAGACTGCGCGAGACACGTCATACAAAAGCTGGGTGTAAGGAATGGACTGTACCGAGGCTGGTTGCCTGCCGCATTGTCACGCATGTCCAACTACTCGTACTTTGGATCGTACGTCGTGATCCAGTCTATTTTGGGCAAAGTGTGCTACGGTGCAGAGGGAGCGCTAAACGCCGACGGAACGAGCCGTAAGTTGCCAGTGGCCTATTCTATTCTATCCGGAGGCCTTGCCGGCTTTTGTTACTGGTTATCCTGCTATCCCATGGATGTGGTCAAGAATCGGATCATGGCAGCGCCAGATACCCAGACACCTCAGTATACGAATATGCGTCATGCATTCAGAACAATATACCAGCGAGAAGGGCTAAAGGGCTTCTTTGTGGGGTTCACCCCGTGTGTGCTACGCGCTTTCCCTGCGAATGCCGCAGCGTTTGTCGGCTTTGAGATGACATTGAGATTGCTTCCAGAGTGATTCTGGCCCTGGACCTAAATGGGGTGACATAGGGTATACATTTAGATCTTTCGAGATGATAAGCTATAAAATAGATACAGATATCGTGACAAACAAGTCACGGTCATTGAATCTGCCGCCTTAATGGTGTATCCAACAAGCGTATTATCGGCTTGGCTGCGAATCAGCACTATTTATCTGGTACTTTTATTCCGGCGTCGGAGATGTGGAAGGATTGACAGGCAACAGCAGAATATTGGGTATAAGGTCAGTCTTTCTAAAAGGGTGCAATGCACTATCCTCAGTAGTCTTTGATATACAGGTCTGATGTACGTATGACCGCCTATCGACAATCAGTGCCGCCGATAATAGCCCGTGTGCGTTTTGTTTGGATGCATGCTTTTGCTTTCTCCTTACAGTGCCACGCTCGGCCTCGGCGCACGCACTGCAGTATTGGAACGACTGATATAAAAAATTGGACTAAGTGTTCAGACAGATGGGCTGTCACACTCCTCCGCACTGGGAACCTACAATTTAAGTAATCTTGATGACCGAGCCTCATTCCAATATGCAAATCACACCTACCCATTAAAAATTATACAATAGTAGTATGTCTCATGACGTTTTTACGGTCAAATTTGCACCATCTGTCTTCGGACGTTTAGTCCGACTCCGATCAGCCAATTTTAAATTTTCATCTTTACTAGTAGAGGGTCATTGCCTGTCGCAAACTTGGTATTATCTATACAAAATTTTCTGCTCCTATGCAAGGAAACTGCCAACCGATTTTATAGGAAGAAAAAAAAACATCGATCTCGCCAATATTTACAACACTTGAAGTACCTTTTATTAATGTCCATAAATAGTTCGGTATAGCTGGGTGAGCAGGTTAGCACTCCCAAGTAACAGCCGGTTGCTGCCCAAGCAAGAGGAAGTCGCTGGGCGAGTCAGATACACTATCTACTCAGAGATTGAGTTTAAGAATGTGTTCTTCATCAGGTTATAGGAACATTGCAAAGTAGGTAGGAAAAGTGACCAAAGGACCGCAACTTGTTATTACGGCGTCCAATCTGGGACCAGTCGGCTCTATGGATGTGTACACTGAAATCAATCTGATTTCATTGTGCGACAGGTGTTCGTGCGCGATGCTATAGATAGTCAGCAATGCCTATAAAAGCATATTTATCCTGCAGATACTATAACGGCTACTACCACTTTGGAGAGCAACTCAGCTATAGTCATGCAAACTGGAATGACTACACGATCACCCCAGTCATCTCATCCAAAGGTCAACTTAAAGATCGAGCAGAGCTTTCTTAATCGCCTCAGTATCTGCGAAGACATCCACTTCGTTGTCGTTCTCAATGAACTGGTACTTGATTGTACCGTCAGTGGCGATAACGTAGACAGCCCCCGTTTGCAAGCCATCGCCCTCCATGTTGCTCGTAGGATACTTCTCCTTGTTCTCCTGACTCCAGCTCAGAGAGGATAGGTTGAAGAAGAACCGCTTCATCACCTGGACAAGACAAGACAGCACTCTGTTAGTACGGGCGATATATGCATCGTAGTAGTGATATGTAGTGTGGTGTATTGTATAACCCCGACACTTCGCATGAGGAAAAAGAGTTGTGATGAAATGAAGAAGTACACGGATCTACAAGCAGACAAGAAAGACAAGCGGTATTTTCAAATTAATAGACAAAAACTAGTTTGAAATCATACCAGTTTGTTGCATATTCTTAAGGAAACATACACAACAGCCCCCACAAACACACCCAATAATAACAGTAGAGCCAGATAGACAGCCGAAATATACGCACTCTGGATAACGCTAACTCCTATCATCCATGTATGTACAAAATGTACCTCCCAGTAGCAGCAGGGTACCGATACACATACCTTAAAACACCAACAACGTCAGTAGGTGCATACACTGACATTTACCCCTACAACACAACACACACCTCCCAATAGCCGAGCCTAGTCAGGTTCATGGCCTTAAACGTCGCGGCTGGTGGGTCCCGGTACACGTCCCCAGTGAATGGGACACCCTCGACGAAACCTTTCGCAAACATTTGGTTTCCGGTTCCAATAGCCACTAATTGAGCTCCTGCTTTCTCAATTTCGGGCTTGATGTCCATCAGTAGTTTGGACTGATGGTGACAGTAGACTCATCTGTTGGTGGTTATAAGAAACAAAGACGATTAGCACGAGATATCGAGAGGTCCGTGTATGAACACATATCATCGGGATTGATCAGGGGCCCCTACACTCCCTGAGTGTCAGTGTCACTGTTATCATAACCTTACACTGATGCCGGCAGTAGACTGCTCTGTGGAACGAATCATACAGAAAGATACGGAGAATATTACGTACACTTTAAAGCATTCGAATTGGACAGGAGCGACTACAATAGCACATTCGTGGTCGGATCACACCAGTAGTGACTGACCATTTAACAAATGTCAGAGACAGAAAGGAGGTCTGCGTTTTAAAATTTGCTGAAAGGATTGAAACGCACAATAGTGACAGATACGTGCAAGCCACGTAGTACAAAGTAATAAACCGGGCAGTGACTATTAGAAGTAACTCAGATACGCATCAGAGCTCCTCCGATGTCTCACTACATACATAGTTCATTGACATGAACTAGGAAGCTTCCAGTATTGGATCGAGACAACACAAGCAGTAGCACGTACAAAGCGCGTGTTAACATATTTGGTGCGCAACTCTGAGCAGACAGTCACATACCTCATCGACTATGTTGACTGTAATTATACATAGTGTATATCCTTATTGCTAGATACATACCTGAGGATGGTGTTAACAAGTCCTTATAGTTCGTTCAGATAGTAGTCTGCTAAGCAACTGACTGCTATACAACTAGAAGTGAGGACGATGCGATACACACACACATATATATATATATATATACGCACACGCGCAAACACACACACGCGCGCACACAAACACACGCCGAAATCTATCCAAGTAACGAAATTGTACACATGTGCATCCATATATCCGAATATCCTGATCACAACGTAATAGCAAGTTATAACATGTATACATGTACACACACATACCCGAATCTTCTGACCAAAGACAGCACCACAGGCTTGTCTCTGAATAGGGAGGCAGCCTCAATGGGCTGTTTGCTTAGGTTGAGCACCGTGATGGAACCCAACCGAGATGCAGCAGAGGCCGACATTTTATTAGAAATAGTGTTCTGGAGCGTATCTTGGTGTATAAAGACGGCGCTATATCGTGCGAGCTATACTCACTTGGTTAGTTATTTTTAAGCTGTGCGTCTGAATAGCTGGTTAATCTGCCGCGTACTATGTACATATATATATATACGAACAATTCCTACTTTACTGGAATATTCTTTAGATCAATATCTACCATTTCTATGCTCTTTGATTGAGATGTTTGGTTTTCATCCTTCAATCGTGTTGAATATGAGTTTTAGTTATGTGTATTATAATTGGTGACATATTTAAAATAACCTTCACCTCAATATTCATTTGTTATTATTTCGTGGCACTACTTTTAATTGGTTACTTTTTAACATTTAAGTACTTTTTGATACAGGTTCACAGTTTTGATTGGATTCAACTTTGAGCACTTGAACAAAGTGTGTATTTTTTTAACATAAAATAGTAAATTTTTAATAGTTACACGAGCTTCTTTTTTCTTTCTTAGCTATTTGATTCGCTTTCTGTGGTATGTATTGTGTACGCATACGTATCTCAGATCTGTATGACTGTGTGTACACATAGTAAACAACTAAGTAACACGCACATTGTATTGCTCATAGCTGTCACTGTATTTATGTATCTCAAGTTCTCAACTTTTCCGTAGTAATTATGTTGCCAGGAGGTCCTTTTCTCGCAGCGCATGACGTTCGTACTGTACATGTTCGTTTAGTTCGTATAGTATGTATGTACTGTAAACAGCTTCTCTAGGGCCCACTCGTATGAGCGGATGCAAGTTTACAAATACACCTAATGCTAGTTGCTAGTGTACGTTTAATGAGGTGCTCTACTCTTCGGTACTTATTCATCCATTTATGTACTTCATATTCTATATATTCACTTGTTTCGTCTGATAGATGGCCGATACACCTCAGTGCGTTTGATACTGTGGTGGAATCTTGAGTAACAATTAAGCAACACTTACGTGACGCTTAAGCGATACTTGAGTAACACGTAAGTTGATATCACAAGAACTATTCAGGTACAGCCGACCTAGTTCCCCTTGGCCTTCTTCATCTTTGGTACGTATCGCCGCCTGGCGTTGATGAACCAGTAGTTGATCTGCAAATACATACGAACATGTGTGTGCATGTTTAACATTCTATATGAACATATATACACGTATATTGAACACACACTATGGACAGTGAGTGTGTACTTGTTCGATATTTTATACGGGCATGTGTGTGCAAATATATATTTCTCTAAATGTACATGAGTGCTATCATAGTACCACAGTGTACGATCTGTTCTATTTATAGGACAAGTAAGGCCCAGACAGGTCCACTTTCACTCGATAGGTTACATCTAGTGTGGTATGTATGTACTAGATAATATCCGTTGCACCTCTTCTGTCACACCCTGTGCGATTACGCCCCCCACAGGACCTTCCCAGCGCAAACACATGCCTGCCTACCATTCAAAAGAGATATGGTCGGTATCCGGGTACATCTCACAGACATCCAACACACATATGTAACTGTACACCTTTATAATCCGTGTATTCGCAGCCGGTCCTCTTGGCGTGTGCGCGTTCTTGTTGGTGTATATGCATGATGAGGTGTGTACACTAACCTGCTTCAGAGAGTTGCCGGTCTGTGCTGCCAACTGTTCCTTCTCCGCTGTAGTGGGGTAAGGTTTGTGGATGTGCCCTTTCAACCATTTTTTCAGTATCTGCGTACCCTTGCATATCTGTGATTTATAACAACAAATGGCGACATAACATGTGTAATTGGTTATAATATGAATCGACATGGTGTGTGTGTACGTATTTACGTAAGACCACATTCAGATCAAAATGGTAGAGATAGTCCGGCGCTTTTCTAGCATACAATCCTTATGTATACAGAATCAACTATAGCATATGAGAACAGATAGAATGGATCTGTGGCTTTGGATTGAGGACCTACAACCAGACGTAATTGTTGTGAGTATTGCCTCCCTTGTTAGTGTATGGGGCTCTATTTTTATAGACACAACAATCTACATTCCTTGCTTTAATGTAAGAGTACTATATCAATACATTTACATGGACGTATACATGTATATAGTTTATATATATATATTAAACATATATATATATATATATACATACTTATATATATTAAACATATATATATATATATATTAAAC